CATCATAGGGGTCAGGGGGGGGGAAATAGTGTCCCATCGTTGGTGTCAGTGGGGGGAGGAATAGTGCCCCATCATTGGTGTCAGTGGAGGAATAGTGCCCCATCATTGATGTCAGTGTGGTGGAGGGAGAATAGTGCCCCATCATTGGGGTCAGGGGGGGGGGGAAATAGTGCCCCATCGTTGGTGTCAGGGGGGAGGAATAGTGCCCCATCGTTGGTGTCAGTGGGGGGAGGAATAGTGCCCCATCGTTGGTGTCAGTGGGGGGAGGAATAGTGCCCCATCGTTGGTGTCAGTGGGGGAGGAATAGTGCCCCATCGTTGGTGTCAGTGGGGGGAGGAATAGTGCCCCATCGTTGGTGTCAGTGGGGGGAGGAATAGTGCCTCATCGTTGGTGTCAGTTGGGGGAGGAATACTGCCCCATCTGTTGGTGTCAGTGGGGGGAGGGAATAGTGCCCCATCGTTGGTGTCAGTGGGGGGAGGAATAGTGCCCCATCGTTGGTGTCAGTGGGGGAGGAATAGTGCCCCATCGTTGGTGTCAGTTGGGGGGAGGAATAGTGCCCCATCGTTGGTGTCAGCGGGGGAGGAATAGTGCCCCATCGTTGGTGTCAGTGGGGGGAGGAATAGTGCCCCATCGTTTGGTGTCATGGGGGGAGGAATAGTGCCCCATCGTTGGTATTAGTGACACAAATGATGGGGGGCACTATTCTCCCACTGACACCAATGATACTTACTTTGCTGACCCCTGCTCCAGCCTGGCTCGCTCTCTCACTTACCTGTCAGCTGTCTTCCTTCTCTGGCCGCTCATCCTCTTCACTCGCTCCGGCAGCTCCCTCGATCTTCTTTGATGTACGCGCGCTGCCGCTCGGCTCCTCCTCCCCAAGCTCCACCTCCTCGCCGGTGATTGGCCCCTGTGTGCCTCTTCTGAGCTACAGTTCCGGTGGCCAATCAGCGGCGAGGGAGGCGGAGCTGCTGAGCGATCCCGGAGGTGTGGCCAGGTGACAGGAGCAGCGTATCATCCCGCCCACACATCGCCCTGAGACGGAGGAGCGGTGTCTCGGTTCCTAAGACCATCGGAAATATGTGTTTTCCGATGGTCTTCGGCGACCCCTGGAAATGGTCGTTCGACCCCCAAAGGGTCGCGACCCCCCAGGTTGAGAACCGCTGCCCTAAAGGGTGGAGTCTAAGGAATAGCTGGTGTTCCGCCAGGATGCTGGCAACCCCTACGTCACCCAACAAGAGGACTCATGGATACAATGTTGGACAGGTGCCCATAAAGCACAAATGGTTGAGTACAGCAGACTGACTGGCAGAGACTGTAACAGTCTGGTAGTGATTGTGATAGCCTTTTAGTGACTGTAGCAAACTGGTAGCATCTGTATCAGACTGGTAGCTAATTTAGAAACCTGGTGGCAACTGCAGCAGATTGGGTACACTATAGCAAGCTGACTTGGCATTGGCCAGAATGTAGCTTTCAGGCAGACTGTGGGAAATCGAATGCACTGAATTCTGTCAGTCGCTGTATTTGAGCAGGAACCCTGTCTCCCATTTGAGACTTCCTGGTCATGTGACACGGCCACAATACTCTGAAACCTGGAAGCACCTGTGACTGCAAGAGACAGAGGCACCAACACTGGAGCATGGAAGGTAGTTATCATGACAATAGTTCAATAATAGTGGTATAATTCAATAAAACAAGGTGAAAAGGGCTAGATTTTACAGTCTTTATTGCCAGTAAAAAGGCCTTGCTCTAAATGCACTTGTTGAGTGGAGAGCAACATTGCAGTATTAATGAATGGTATCAGTATAACAGTATTTAATACACGGGTATACCCAGATTTATAGTATGAAAGGGGCAGCTAAATACTGGACCTATCTCCAAACAGTCCTGACTAACCACTGGCCAGTGGATACTACCACCGAGTCTGTGGGAGGTGGGGTCTTTTAAATTCAATGGTAGAGCATTCAACCACTAAGGGAGGGTCAAAAGGGAAAAGCGCAGTGCTTTGTTATATAAAAACTAAAACATAGTTTCATAAGCGATCTGGTAAACCAATACAATAATGCATGTGATAATAAAAGTATGTTATAAGTGTTCTAGAAAATATGTGCAAATAAATGATATACTTAAACACCTGTACATAAAAGAGTCCATATAAAAACAATTGGTAACAAGTGTCCACATAACCAGACATCTGTGCATCTCTTAGATATTAACAGTGATCCTCAGCAAACCAAGATGCACCAATCTATACAGAGTGTGCAAATAGGTTTACCAGAGAACTATGACCATCTTACACAGATAGGCCAAAAAGTTCTTGTGCAAAATGACAGCTTGTTCCAGGGACAGGATCAGTCCAATCCACCTTCCCCTTCAAACCTCCCAAGATGGATGGAATCCACTCAGAGAAAAGATATCTCCACCATCTCAGCACAGTAATCCATGTCATATGTGAAGGTAGAAAAGCACAAAGGGCACTCCCATGGTGTGAAACCAATTAAAACCAAACAGGCCACTATACCACAGTCTGTTCTATGGACAAGGCTTAATGGGTCCACCAAAGTGGCTAATCAAATCTTCCTCTCCTCTTTCACTGTCAATCATGGGTGGGGAGATGAGGCAAGTTGTGGCATAGCTTCCAGATTGCTTGGGCAGAGCAGCAGCTCCCACATTAAAGGGGCTGCTGGCCAGGGCCGTATTACCTCAGCATGTTAAGATTATATGTTTAGAAAAAGGAAAACTCAATTTTTACTTAAAAAAAGACATACATGTCTACAAAAGCCAAATGTAATTTTTAAAATAGCTTTATTCAATTCCTAAAAGGTCATCATAAATCTTGAACAGCAGTAGTGCCAAGGCTGAATAAAGAAAAATATCATATGTAAAGGCCAAGTAATGTATGCATTGAACAGGTTCTAGTCCACATACTGAATATTGGTGGTTTCTGAATAAATGAATTCTTCTGGAGAAGAGTTGAATGCAGGAATGTAGAAAACAATAGGACAAAGAAAGAGAAATAAATAAATATGAGTGGGGATATTGACAGTAATAGAGAGCATGCTCCGATACAAAATGATTTTTAATAATAGCAAAACCAGATATTGCTGCTTTGGAAAACATTACAAATTATATATAACCAACAGTAGTAGACAACTTCAGCTGCAAGTACGTATTCTATGGAGAGACAGAGAGATACAAAAGAGACATCTTATCTGTATGTTTTCACTGGGCTTGTTTTGAGGATAATCAAGAAGCTATTGGAAGAAATTTGGGTCAACATTTTTCTCTGGAAAAGGTAAGGCAGTACAGCTTTTCCATGACTTTTGTTCAAGGCCTTTTTTCTAATAAAATAGGTTCAGGAACTCCCCCCTTTTGAGACACTTCTTGTCTCAGCCCCCCTACCCACCTCCCAGTACCACTCCTTTTAGAGGATACAGAGCCAAGTATCATTTTGTGGTGCTAAATAGTTTGTATGGAATGTGTTAATAATAACAAGAAAAACAGAAAAAATTGCAACAACAGATTCCTCCAGCAACAATGGACCCCCAAACAAAGTACCATCCTAACAAAAATAGACCGCCGGCAGCTACAACAGATCCCCCAGCAGCCAGCATCAATAGACTCTCCATCAGCTAGCAACAATAGGCAATAGACCCCTCCCTCAACAGTAGATCCCTTCTAGCAACAAATGACCCTCATCAACAGTAGACTCCCAACCAGCATCAACAGACTTCCCCAGCAACAGTAGACCTGTCAGGGCTCCCGGGTATGACCAGAGGTGTGTGACTGACGCAGGGAAACGCAGACTTCAGATAAGTTATAAACAATATAATTTATTAACACTAACAATACAAACATAAACGCAGTGCAATACTAAAACATAACACAGTGCAAACAAACCAAACCAACCACCCACAGATAACCGTACATACAATGCAAGCGTCGTCAGGCAGGCCGGGTCAATATCAATCGGGCAGGTAGGTACAGGGGGAGCAAGCGGAGAATGGTCGGGGTCACAAGCCAGGTTCAGCAGGTAGCGGGCAGCGTGGTACAGAGGGTCAGGCAGAGGAGAATGGTCAGACAAGCCAGGGATCAGGAGCAGGAGAATGGTCAGACAAAAGCAGGGGTCAGAGCAGGGTCAGCAACGAATCAGACAGGAACAACAGGAACAGGGAGCAGGAACAGGATACAGGGCCCAGGAGAAACACACACCAAGGCAGAGTCTGCAGGTCTGGCCATCCCTTAAATACACCAGTATAATCAGTTCCAGGTGTTTGACTGGCTGCAAGGTTGAGTCTCTGATTGCTGGGAGCACCCGCTGGCCAGCCCTGGTACTGCAGCTCATAAGGCAGGTGAGTCCCACCATTGCTGGCCAGTCTCCATTCCTGACAGTACCCCCCCCCTCAAGGAGCGGCCTCAGGACGCTCCAAACAGTCCTGGCTGGGCAAAATGTTCCACCGCCCGGGTCTGGTAACTGGCGGGATGTATCAAAGACTGGCACACCGGGCAGGACTCCGGGCAGCGGCACACCAGGCAGGACTCTGGGCAGCGGCACACCGGGCAGCGGCACACCGGGCAGAGGCACACCAGGCAAAACTCCAGGCAGCGGCACACCGGGCAGCGGCACATCATCGGCTGGACTCCGGGCAGCGGCACATCGGGCTGGACTCCGGGCAGCGGCACATCGAGCTGGACTCCGGGCAGAGGCACATCGGGCTGGACTCCGGGCAGAGGCACATCGGGCTGGACTCCGGGCAGAGGCACATCGGGCTGGACTCCGGGCAGAGGCACATCGGGCTGGACTCCGGGCAGAGGCATATCGGGCTGGACTCCGGGCAGAGGCACATCGGGCTGGACTCCGGGCAGAGGCATTATCGGGCTGGACTCCGGGCAGAGGCACATCGGGCAGGGACTCCGGGCAGAGGCACATCGGGCTGGACTCCGGGCAGAGGCACATCGGATCACCAGGCGACAGCAGCTCCGGGCAGCGGGCACCCCCAGGCGGAGCAGCAGACACGGGCCCCCAGGCGGAGCAGCAGGCACTGGGCCCCCAGGCGGAGCAGCAGGCACCGGGCCCCCAGGCGGAGCAGCAGGCACCGGGCCCCCAGGCGGAGCAGCAGGCATCGGGCCCCCAGGCGGGGCGACAGGCATCGGGCCCCCAGGCGGGGCGACAGGCATCGGGCCCCCAGCGGAGCGGCAACAGGCATCGGGCCCCCAGGCAGAGCGGACGGGTCCGGACCCCCAGGCAGAGCGACAGGGCGCTCGGCCCCCAGGCGGAGCGACAGGTCTCGGGCCCCCAGGCGGAGCGGCGGGCGCCGGACCCCCAGGCGGAGCGACAGGTCTCGGGCCCCCAGGCGGAGCGGCGGGCGCCGGACCCCCCAGGCGGAGCGGCAGGTCTCGGGCCCCCAGGCGGAGCGGCGGGCACCGAGTCACCAGGCACGACAGTGGGCTCCGAGTCAACTGGCATGACCGCTGGCACTGGGTCAGACATTGGATCGTCTGGCTGGACAGCGGGCATCGGGTCACCAGGCATCAGGTCATTTGGCTCGACAGCGGGCACCGGGTCATCAGGTACCGGATTGTCTGGCTCGACAGCGGGCATCGGGTCACCAGGTATGACACCCCCCGGGCACTGGGTCACCAGGCATCAGGTCATTTGGCTCGCCAGCGGGCACCGCGTCATCTGGCAAGGCAGTGGGCACCGGGTCACCAGGCATTGGTTCGTCTGGCTGGACAGCGGGCATCGGGTCACCAGGCATCAGGTCATTTGGCTCGACAGCGGGCACCGTGTCATCTGGCAAGGCAGTGGGCTCCGAGTCAACTGGCGTGACCGCGGGTACTGGGTCAGACATTGGATCGTCTGGCTGGACAGCGGGCATCGGGTCACCAGGCATCAGGTCATTTGGCTGGCTCGACAGCGGGCACCGCGTCATCTGGCAAGGCAGTGGGCTCCGAGTCAACTCGTATGACCGCGGGCACTGAGTCAGACATTGGATCGTCTAGCTGGACAGCGGGCATCGGGTCACCAGGCATCAGGTCATTTGGCTCAACAGCGGGCACCGCGTCATCTGGCAAGACAGTAGGCACCAAGTCACCAGGCACGACCCGTGGGCTCTGAGTCAATTGGCACGACACAGCGGGCACCGGGTCATCAGGTACCGGATTGTCTGGCTCGGACATCGGGTCACCAGGTATGACAGCGGGCTCTGAGTCAATTGGCACGACAGCGGGCACCGGATCAGGTACCGGATCGTCTGGATCAACAGCGGGCATCGAGTCAACTGGCCTAATAGGATCATCAGGCTGGATCAGTTCATCATGCTGGGGTAGAGGCATCAGGCCGAGCGGAGGCATCAGGCCGAGCGGAGGCATCAGGCTGAATAGCGAGGCATCAGGCTGAATAGAGGCATCAGGCTGAATAGAGGCATCAGGCTGAATAGAGGCATCAGGCTGGGTATAGGCATCAGGCTGGGTACAGGCATCAGGCTGGGTACAGGCATCAGGCTGAGTAGAGGCATCAGGCTGAGTAGTAGAGGCATCAGCTGAATAGAGGCATCAGGCTGGGTACAGGCATCAGGCTGGGTACAGGCATCAGGCTGAGCAGAGGCATCAGGCTGAGTAGAGGCATCAGGCTGAATAGAGGCATCAGGCTGGGTACAGGCATCAGGCTGGGTACAGGCATCAGGCTGAGTAGAGGCATCAGGCTGAGTAGCGGCATCAGGCTGAGTAGAGGCATCAGGCTGAATACAGGCATGGCTGAATACAGGCATGGGTACAGGCATCAGGCTGGGTACAGGCATCAGGCTGGATACAGACCTCAGGCTGAAGTGCGGGTGTGCCGAGGCACCAGGCTGAACCACGGAAGGCAGGTTCTCAGACGGCAGGCTCACTGGTTTGGATACTGGGAGGATGGTATTGGTTGGAAAGAATTTTCGCTTTTTTCTGGTTTTAACTACTGGAGCACTGCAAGTAAACGCAGGTCTGCAAACGAATGGAGCAGCTGGAGACAGAGAAGAGCTGGAGGATGGAACAGAGGAGGAGCAGTTGCTACAGAGGGCTTTTTTTTACAGGGTTAAAGGCAGGATAGGTGCAGCGAGTGGGAACAGGGTACTGACATGCGGTAGATAGCAGGGCAGGAGGAGCTGTTGGGAATGCAGGAATAGAGCTTTGAGGAAATAAATTAGAAGCAGGACTGGGTTTTTGTAAGCTGACTGAGGCTGGGTGCAACAAATCTGTCCATGTCTGCAGTATGGGTTGAACAAAGCTCAGCTTACACAAAGCCTGTCTGACTAAAGACTGCACTGCGTTTATACAATCCCTTAATACCTGTAGTGAACATGCAGAATAACGCTCCAGAAAGTAATCCACATCATCCTCTAATAACCATACCAGGGACTCTACCTGGTCGGCACTAAATGGCGGCAAAAAATTCATCCCTGCATTCGGGGGTACCAGATGAAACCAACTCCGCACAAACCTGAATCAATGGCTGCACCTCAGAGAATTCTGTGCCCTGATCTACTAGAACATGAGCGAGCCGTATACATTCTAACAGTTCATCCCTGGAATACTCCTTCAGAGCCTGATAAGCATATTCTCTGTCATCAAACACTAGCAGATATAAATACTCAACCTCATTAAGATCCATCCTTCCCATCAACAAACCAAGATGGCTTCCCTGTGCAGCCACTTCTGGTCAGGATTGGCCTTGGTGTAATGTCAGGGCTCCCGGGTATGACCAGAGGTGTGTGACTGACGCAGGGAAACGCAGACTTCAGATATGTTATAAACAATATAATTTATTAACACTAACAATACAAACATAAACGCAGTGCAATACTAAAACATAACACAGTGCAAACAAACCAAACCAACCACCCACAGATAACCGTACATACAATGCAAGCGTCGTCAGGCAGGCCGGGTCAATATCAATCGGGCAGGTAGGTACAGGGGGAGCAAGCGGAGAATGGTCGGGGTCACAAGCCAGGTTCAGCAGGTAGCGGGCAGCGTACAGAGGAGGGCAGAGGAGAATGGTCAGACAAGCCAGGGATCAGGAGCAGGAGAATGGTCAGACAAAGCAGGGGTCAGAGCAGGGTCAGCAACGAATCAGACAGGAACAGGAACAGGGAGCAGGAACAGGATACAGGGCCCAGAGAAAACACACACCAAGGCAGAGTCTGCAGGTCTGGCCATCCCTTAAATACACCAGTATAATCAGTTCCAGGTGTTTGACTGGCTGCAAGGTTGAGTCTCTGATTGCTGGGAGCACCCGCTGGCCAGCCCTGGTACTGCAGCTCATAAGGCAGGTGAGTCCCACCATTGCTGGCCAGTCCATTCCTGACAAGACCACTACACAAAAAAATAGATCCCTTTAAGTGACAATAGATCCCCCATCAGCCAGCATCAATAGACCATCCAGCACACCCCAGCACCCCTTGCCATTACATACATTCAGTGCTGAAGGTGCCAGAACTGCGTTTCCCCCACATTCCCACTGAAAAAAAGTCCTGCCTTTGTTAGATATCAATCTCAGCCAAACTGAGAAAAAATTAAAAGCACATTTCAATCTTATTAAATTAAAACTAGAGATGCATATATAAATCACAGCCTGCCTGATCAGTGGCTCAGTTTCATCTAAACATTGTATCACTAATACAGTTAAACTAGATAGAATGCATTTTGTGATTTTTAGCATTGCTGTCCTCTAACCTCTCTCCTAGTACCTCCTTAATTCATTAAGTGTTCTTGCATGGCAAGACCACTAACTGTTATCTCACATATATATTCTTATTATTATAGCCAAATTTACCACCCTAACTCCTCCCACAGTTTTTTACACTACATAGACAGTAATATACCGAAACGTGCAGATTGTTCCTGATTGGTGTGCTATTACTTTGTGGAACGTTTCGCCGAATGGTTCACAAAATATCAGCGTTTTTTGTGGTGAAATTGGTCCCATAGGAATGAATGGCGGAATGTTCAAAACTAGAGCGGGAGCTGACAAAAGCTAGAGTGTGAGCTGAAAAATCAGGACATGATTTCTAAACTGCCATCACTCCCTCATTTTCAAGCCCACCTACACAAATCTTATATCAAAACGTTCAGCTATCCCTGCTGCCACTAAAAATGTCCACGGCTAAGCCATAGTCCTGATAGTTTTCACAATATGACCATTTGTTTGCAACTCATGCCGCCCATTGACATTCATTGAAACTCCACTCTAGCCACCTAAAATTTGAAGGGCAATTTCAAAACTGCGACTGTGCCTTCATTTTTAATATTTCAGACACATACTAAGCATCAAAATGTAGGTCTGGGTCTTGTGATTCTCACAATATAAAATTCTTCAGTGTAGGATTTATAATTTGTAAGCTACAACCGTTTCAAGATAGCAACCGCCAGTGAAGTGAGCAAGTTGGAGCAGTTTTGTTTTTAACCTCTCTTCTCTGCCCTTGCTGTAGAGTGAGTTGCCATAGGAACCCAGGTGTGTGAGCAGGCAGCAGAGTGACAAAAGCTAGAGTGTGAGTTGTAGACTACTGGTGGAGGCAAGAACACTTCACACAATTTCCCCAGAAATTGTAGCTTTTCTAGTTTTAATTTTAGCTCCGTGTTGCTCTTTAGGGAGAGTCAACCTTTTTCCTTTGAAACCTTTATTCAAAACTGCAAGAAATAGTACATAATTGTGTACCCAATAGTTCTCTCATTTGCATATTGTTATTTAGTTACTAGTCACCATATTAAGGCTCCCAGCAAGGCCTGCACTGAGGCTCACAGTGGGATTTACACATTATAAGAAACCTTTTCCTAAGCTAGATGTCTACAAGTGGCTTCCTCCATCAGCCTCAGCACTGTCTACAACAAATGTGAATCAACTCCTGAGTCTCTCTGCATGCATGTGCTGTCAGTCTCAGTGCAGTTTTTGCTGGGTAGTCCTGAGCCCTGTGGGTCATATAGTAGAATCCAACACACTCAGAAGTGCTAGATTCTTAGGGATACAAGTATGTAAGATCTTTTTTTTAGTTTTGAATAAAGGGTTCAAATAAGACGTTCAACCTGGTAACATGATTCCTTTAGGTTAACCTGACTATAGATCTACTTTAACTGCTGGAACTACCACACTTGTATAACCACTATTGGGATTTTACATTGTTCTTATGAGTTTAATGATTTGACAATAACATTGTCATTACTTTCAATGTCAAACTTACACATATATCATTTTATGGGACAAAAAAAGTTTTTCTTTTGGAGGTTTTCTCTTCCAAAAATTATTTTATATACTTAAAAAAAGTCCCCCAAAACAGTCAAAAAGGACAAAAGTAAGTAATACAACTTCCAGATAAAGTTCTATATCCCAACACTGCAAGCTCCTGGAGGGAAGGTGAAACTACAATCAATATCAATTTAGTAGGCAGCTGCCTATAAAATGTAAATCACTAATACAAACAAAGCAAATCTCAACAGTAACTCAAGCAGCGCTTTACACTATTTAGACAAGTTATCACTATGAATCCACCTCCCAGTGAAAGAAATGTGCCATCCAATAGTCCAAAAATGGCATATCCTCGTTTGAATGATTGAAAATCGATAAACATTCACTTGACATCCACTTCAGTAGTTGAAACCACCATCGTGCATTTCAGTGAACCACACTCACCTCTTGTCACCTCACTCACCCCCCGTATTTGCCTCTCATTTTACAGATCGGATAAATAGGCTCAGTTCTCCAATCAGAGTGCAGGTTTCATCTCTGGTTAGCAATCTCCACTCATTGTGATAAAACTCAAAGCAGAGAGGACAAAAATTGCTTATAGCGTAGTCCCATTCAAAATCTTTATTAAAGATCTGCACCTTACAATAACACTGACAAGAATAATAAAACATATTCGCTTATCATTCATATAGTCGGGTTCTGACTGTATGTTCAAATTACAAGCCACATCTCACCACATTATCGGAATCGGTATCAACGTCACTTCGGTCTGTGCTCTGACGTCACCTCCTGTCGCCAT